ATATATATATATATATATATATATATATATATATATATATATATATATATCCCAAGCTTCCCTCACCAACATAAAGCTCACTCATTTCTTTACCCTTTTCATGCTTTAATATATATATTATATAACCCATTCGCAGGATACATACCAAATTATTTAAATAAAAAGAGTAAACGACAACTATTCACGTAATTGGTCATCAAAATCGGATTCAGTAAACCCTGATATTTAGACTAATCTAAGATATGTTACATATTCAACTACCATGTAAATGCAAGACACCAATCCCCCTCAAATGGGAAATAAAAATGATAGGGAACCTTTTTCTATATATATATAACTCTTGTATAGTTCAATAGAGTCGAATGAGTTGCACAACAACCTTGGTTGGTTTTGAGAGTAACCAATCACTCATAACGACATCTTCCACTTCCTCAAGGCATCAATCAACTCTCTCTCCGTACGCTTTGTTCGACTTGCTCAAAAACAGGAGAAGCTCCATTTTCCCAATACAAAACCATTTAACATTATATATATATATATATATATCATATCCTGTTATATGAACCAAAACAAGAAGGCTTTTTTTTTATAAAAAGAAAAAAGAAAAAAGAAAAAGAAAAACGGTGTTGCGTCTCTTCTATTCATCATGGGCCTGGGAAGGGCACTGGATGAGGTCGAGTATGTTAACCACCTCCTCCATCTCCGGCCGATTTGACGGCACCTGCGAGGCGCATATCAAACCCAGTTTCAAGACAGGAACAGCCTCCTCCCCCGGAAAACTCCCCCTCAGCCGGCCGTCCACACACTCCTCCACCCTCCCCTCCTCCAACGCCCCTCTCACCGTCTCGCACAGCACCACCACGTCATCCTCCTCGTACTCCACCGGCCTCTTCCCCGTCACCACCTCCATCACCAATATCCCAAACCCATACACGTCGCTCTTCTCCGTTATCTTCACCGTCCTGCACGCAAACTCCGGTGCTGTATACCCCAACGAGCTCTGCACCTTTCCGCTCAATACGCATCTCTCCAGCAGCCTCCCTATTCCGTAGTCCGACACCTTTGCCTCGCCGCATGCGTCTATGAGGATGTTCGTCGATTTTAGATTGTAGTGAGTGATGTTCATCCGATGCAGATAGGCCACTCCTCTCGCTATCCCTATAATGATGCTGAAACGCTGCCTCCATGATAGGGATAAGCTCTCATCCCCGTGGAGATGTCTGTATAAGCTTCCCCCTGGGACAAACTCGTAGATCAACAGCTGCACCGACTGTGTCCAGTAATACCCTTTCAGCTCCACTAAATTCTGGTGCCTCAGCTTTGCCTGTTTTCTTATTTCCCTCTCGAACTCCTCCTGAGATTTGATCATACCCGAAACCGTCAGTTTCTTGACTGCCACCGGACGCCCGTCTCGGAGATTGGTCTGGTAGACCACTCCAAACCCTCCTCGGCCCAGCTCACAGTCCTTGTTCAGCAACGCATGTGCACCTGTGGTGTCAAACGCATCCACGTCTCCTGAGAACATCACGAGCTTCCCGAATTCTTCATCTTTACCGGGCGAGCAGCTGAACGTTTCTCCAGCGGACAGGGCAAGAGCTGTTGCAGCATCATGACGAGAAACACTGGCTCGAGCATGGATGTTGAGTAGAGTGACGGCTACCACACCTACGGCAATGAACACTGCTGCCCCGATGGCGATCAGTGCTGATATACTGAGAACGCTTTTCCTGATACGGCCTTCAAGGGCGGGGCCGTTTGCTGGGTTGGAAGAGTTAGGGTTTAGGACAATGGGTTTAGGGTGGACAGAAGGGCATGAGCGGTTGACGATGGAGCCGCAGAGGGATGGGTTGCCCGATACAGCGGACGGAGGGATTGTGTTGAAGAAACCTCCGGCCGGCAGCTCGCCCTCGATGCTGTTGTGAGAGATGTTGAAGGAGATGAGGTGCGAGAGATTCACGATTTCTTTGGGTAAGCTTCCTGAGAGATTGTTCACTGACAGGTCTACCAACTGAAGGTTGCTCAGATTGGCAATGCTCACTGGAATCTCACCAGAGAGGTTGTTCTGAGACAGATCGCTGATGAAAACAGAACACAAGAATTCAGGAGTTTAGAATCCATGAGAAAGTTACTTGGAACAGAACACAGCTTCAGAATGTAAACGGTAATAACTTCTGCAAGTACTCACATGGCGGTTAGAGCCGAGCAATTTGAGATTTGGCCGGGAATCTGGCCGGAGAGGCCGTTTCGCTGCAATTTTAGTTCTTTCAGAGAGACAGCTCCACCAATTTCAGAAGGGATGGTACCATTCAGCAGATTATTGCTCAGATCGAGAACTTCCGTGGCTTTCAATCCGCCTATGCCACTCGGTATTGAACCGAGCAGAGCGTTTGCCGACATGTTCATATGCACTAAGCTTCTAAGGATCCAAATGTCAGGCGGTATCTGGCCAGAAAATCCATTCGAGGAGAGATCCAGGACTCGAAGACCCTGCAGAAACCCGACAATCGATGAAATCGTGTCGTTTTCTGATCTTTTGTCTAGAGTATAGCCAGAAAGGGAGGAGCTTTCCGAGTTTCCGTTGAACATCCACTGAAACACAGAACCAGTGAATGAATTCTTGCTCACATCAATGGAGATCAAGTTCGAGCAGTTTTTAATAGTCTCTGGAAGTTCGCCGGCGAAAGTGTTCGCAGATAGATTCAACTCCTTTAAGAACTCGAGGTTTCCCAATGAAAACGGAACATTCCCGGAGAGATTGTTAGCAGAGAGATCTAAAGTCTCAAGGCTGGTCATTTCGCCGATCCAGTTCGGGACTTCCCCGATCAGAGAGTTTCCTCGCAGTCGCAACAAGCTACACGAACCGAGCTTTCTCATAGGATCCGGAAGATACCCAGAGAAGTAATTCTCGCTGAAATCTACCGATTTCAACGACGAACAGCTTCCGATATCGGCGGGAATATCCCCGGAAAACCAGTTTTTGGAAAAGTTGATCTCACGGAGATCATAAAGACTGCCGATCCCATCCGGAATCTCTCCTTGGAGGAAATTATCGGACAAATCTAGGGATTTCAAGCTCTTGAGGTACCAGATTTCTTGCGGTAATCTCCCGGAAAGCTGATTACTTGAGAAATTAACACGGGTTAGAGTGGAACAGTAGCTGAGAGAGACGGGGATAGGACCTGTAAGCCTGTTCCTGGCAAAGGAGACGGACCTCAACGACCCGCATTGCTCGAAAAACCCGTCGGGGATCCGACCCGACAGGCTGTTGCCGCTGAAGTCGACGACTTGGAGGCTACCCATGTGAGGGAACTCGGGGTTTAGGGCTCCGGAGAGGTTGTTGTTGGAGAGGACGAGGGTTTGGAGAGACTGAAGGCGGAGGAGGCCGCGGCCGATGTGGCCGGAGAGGGAGAAGCCGTCGAGTCGGAGCTCAGTGACCCGATTGGAGGCCGGGTCGCAGCTGACTCCGACCCAGTTGATGCATGGGTCGTTGTCTTCTTCGTTCCATGAAGCGAGCTTCGAGCCTGGGTCGTGGAGACCGGCCTTGAAGACGATCAACCCCAAAACGTCGTCGTTGAAAGCCGGGTCGGCAGATTTCACTCGTAACGCCAAGAAGAGGAGAAGAAGAAAGGAGAGTAGAAGAACGGTGTCGTTTGGCATATCGCTTCGCACACCTCCAAGGGGGAAGAAGACAAAGTTTGAGCCAAAATAAAGGAGAGAAAAACAGACGTTAACAGGCCATGGAAGGAGCTGACTGCACAAAAGGGACTTAGGAATGGAGCAGAGTAAAGACTACGCTAGGGTCAGAAAGAGAGCAAGGCAAGGGGAATGGGACGAGGGCAACGCAAAAGAGAGAAGAGATGGTGGCATTAGCATCAACGGGAGGGAGAAGAAGCCCCTGGAGTCTGGTTTCAAAGCCTCAAACGCGGTTGACATGTAAGGAGGGAGAGATGTGCCTGCTTAAAACGAAGAAAACGGAAGGGGAGTAGATGATGTTGGAAGGTATAGAGAGAGAATTAATGGCAGATTCCAAGTTAAAGTGAAATTTATGTTTCTCTTAAATAAAACTGAGACTGAGGGGGAAAAGCAGAAAAGAAAAAAAAAAGAAAGTCGACGGCTAAAGCACCGGAGTGGGGGCAGAGGACTCGAGTGCGGGAGACAATCTTTTTTTCTTTCTTATTTCTTTAACTGTTTTTTTTACTTTGAATTTGATAATAGTAGTAATTAAACTTCAAAATAATAATAATAATCCGTCTGTGCATGTGTTTGAATGCAATGACTTGTATTGTTAGTGTAATTCCTGTGACATGGATTTGACTATTCCAATATCTAATATCATGGGAGGTTTGGTCTGTCCAACTAATATCGTGATATAATTTTTTTTTATAATTCGGAATACACCTTCTATAGGATTGAAGAAATTGATGTTAATGTTTATATCCAAGTGAGGACTCGGATCCGGGTTAGAAAGGAGTTTTATCGGTTGAACACCATTCCATCTTGGATTATTTGGGATATAATTGATTTCAAATGAACATATTTTGTTACAGAATGAGTAACAATGAAGGTAGTGAAAAAGAGTGGGGGGGTTTGAGTACAAGAGAAGGGATATATATATATATATATATATATAGTATGATGCCCCCCAAATGCACCTTTCATTCGTGAAGTGACTTGGCTCATCATAAATTTACATAAATTAAATCTCCCACACTCCTCGACTCAGGCACTACCCTTGCGTCTTACGCATGTCGCTAACGAGATCTGAATCTCAATAAATGCGACCTTACTCTATAATAATAGTAACAACAACAAATGTTTTTATTAAATCGAATTTATTCTGCATTAATTAACTGTTCACTGCAGATTGCTTGCGTAAATGGTGCGCATTCTAAAGATATATTATATCCCATGGGTTCACCATCCCCTGTCTAAATATTTCTGTACATAATAAATAAACAGTCATAGTTTATAAACGAAATGAGTCGTTTTTATTATTTTTTTTTTAAAATTGAGGAAAACAGTGAATATATGATGGCGAGACAAGAGAGAGAGATGATGAGAAATAGATCATGCCTACCAACAATGCTGTGCCTTTTTGTTCCTTTTCCAAGCAACATACTCAAACATTATACGTTTATTTCATGTCTTCTTTTTAAATGGTTTGAATTTGAAGGCATCGAGATTTGTTCATTGCGGTTTCTTTTCTTCTTTTTATGAATAGTATATCATATATAACATCAACCTCCGACCGGTCATCATGAGCTTTGGATCCAATTTATTTTTATCATAAATATGAGGCCCATTAGCCCATCACTCTGAATCCAAATGTAGAGCCCAACGGCCACTGTGACTGGACATCCTCCTCCTCCACCATCGAGTTGTAATGATCTCCTCCATCTCACCATCTTCTACATAGGAGGATCTCACCATCTTCTACATAGGAGGGTCGTCCAGATAATGGAAGGTGAATGGGAAAGTGTCCGAAGATAGGAGGATTGTCTTTGACCATCTGGAGTCTGAACCTACCCAACTTGAATAGTTCAACCAGTAAAACGGAGATACAAAACGTCTGTTCTGTCCGCCTCAAATTAGGGAAGGAGCATAATTCCAACCATATGGATTGTTCATCAATGTGGGTTTCGTACCAAGATACCCGATTACCCAAAAAAAAACCTGAACGTGCTTCCTTGCCCTTACCCTGCAGTTCTACACGTCTGTTTCTGATTCAATCAATCGTATATACACATTAATTTGGCCGGTTCATGCAGGTTCTTGATCGGGCATTGCAAGTAGAAGGGACCGACGCAGAGAAGCAGTCAACGGCGGTCTTGGAACCTGTACTCTCCCGTCTTCCACCAGCAGCTTCAGTTTGTAATTATTCTAAACAGAAGTCGATTTGTGAAGTAGCCTTTCCTTTTGGTGGTGTAATAAAACCTCCACTCGACCTAATTCAACACGTTTATCACATATCTGCTTATTTCTCTTCTTCAATGTTGTTGGTATTTTCATGATAGAATAATATTATGTATTGGCTACAAAAAAATTGTTTTTTTTTTACTAATTATCTGAACGTAACAATATACTTTCATCTTACAATTGACAAAATATATGTGTTTTTATTTTTTTTTGCCATTCGGGGTCAGGTCAGTAGGTTGGGAGCATGAGGTAACTCCATGAGGTCGGATTTTCGAATCCTACCGCCTCCCTTCCTCTGACCTGCTCGCCTGTCAGCCTATAATAATGGGCTGATTTACCTCTTACGCGTGTGTTGCAGGCTCGTGCACGTGGACTTGAAGTTTGACCCGCAGACGCCTAAGCCCAACTACGGTCCGAGTGTTAGGCGCGCCTGGTGGCCAGGTCCGACGGAGACTGTTAGGCACAGGTGGTGGCCAGTTCGTCTCCGTTTATAAGGATAGGTAGTCACGGAGTTTTCAAAAAAAAAAAATATGTGTTTTTATTTTGCACGTTCTGCGATACATAATATTCGAAAAGTGTTTATCATCAAAAAAAATATATATATGTATTGGCTACAAAAAAATCGTTTTTTTTTACTAATTATCTGAACATAACAATATACTTTCGTCTTACAATTGACAAAATATATGTTTTTATTTTGCACGTTCTGCGATACATAATATTCGAAAAGTGTTTATCATCAAAGCCCAAAAATCTCGGACATTGTTCCATCATGGATATAGATCAAATGGGCTTTTCATCAAAGCCCAAAAAGAGCAAAGCCCAAATTGCAAGTGGAAACATAGAGACGTTTAGCTGGAACCCACACAAACATCAGATGAGAATTATCCCTCTCTCGGCCTCGGGGTTCTCCTCACCCAGTCCAGTTCCTGAAAATTTGCAGAAAAGAAGGAGTCTTCATCAGATTCTGATTTTGCAAATCATTTCATATACAAACACGGAGTGGGGATCACGACCTGGACTTGGCTCCTTTCGTTCTGCGATTGGATCGGCGACGGAGTTCCCAAGGACTGACCATCCTCTTCCATCGACTTCTCTTCCTCTGTCTCTCGTTCCTGAAATTTCAGATTTTTTTAAAGACCATTTTCACCGAACCTGGGCTCCAAATCGAAGAGGAAAGCGTAGGGAAATACGTGGAGTGAGATTCCATGGCCGCCGCAGTTCCTTCTCTCTCTCAGCGGTCGGATCGGAGAAATTTTCTGACATAGATGGATTGACATATTAGACTTATATTTAGAACCCAAAGGAAGAGATCGGGTCTGATTTTTGGTAGCTTACGGAGGAATAGGCAGATAGCTCCTTCAATCGGAA